GGAGATTTAGGCGTGCAACAGAGATTAAGACAGAGATTAAGGAAAGTTATTAATTAATCTTAATTTTCGGTTTAATAACTTGCCTAAGCCACAGTGGACAAGACTCCACTTTCTCAACAGTTTATATATTGAGCACAAAAAAGTATGCATGTTCGGCTTGTTAACTTAACAAATGAATCGAACACAAACTTCTTAACGAGCTGAACATGAGCTATTCGGCTACAAGGAGCCGCTTCGACGGGCCTACTTCCAAGTGATAATTCCTGTATCACTAGATTAATGTGTTTCAGCAAAGAGATAATCTGAAGCTCTTTTTATCATATTATTCAACTTAATCATGACCTTACCTTGTACACAAGTACTTATGATGCCTGAGGGGATCCTCAAAATTGGCAAGTCATAAAGCCATATAGTGATAGGGCAGGATTTTGTAAAGAAAAAATTTGTGCTCGAGCTAGTAGCACATTGATTGGGAAACAAAATGAAGAATTTTAAGGGGCGAGCACTCACCCACCCACCCTAATAAATAAACAAATAAAAAATAAAAAGGGGAATTTACATGCATATAACAAAATTCTTATGTATTTACATATTTAACCTCTACACATTCATATTTTTATGGGCACCACTCGGATCTTTAATATCAGACCAAAAGTATTCCAAAACTGCCTTTTTAAAAGTGAAATAGGGGAAGAGGGGGGGGATATAGTAGGGAACAGTAAAAAAGTGTCTTATTCATGAAATTAGTCTCTATTTATAGCCTAGATCCCGACATTACAAAAATACATATTAGTCTCCTCATCATTAACTTTTCAAGGAAATTTTTTGGTAATGACTGAGTTATTTGCATATAATAAGACTGAAGACCGATTCAATCAATCAGGATTGTCGATCGTCTGACAAGTTTTGACTCGCTCAATATCTAGTTTGAAAGTGTGCTCCCCATCGATTGTCCTGAATGTTGATTACAGCCCTGCAGAAGCTTCTCCTGGCGTCTTCTTCCAATCACTCAAATAAGGTGCTTTTGTTGCCAATCTTCAACCCAAAACGATCTTCGAAGGCTATCTTCGACCGTCTGCATCTTCTTCCTGGGTCGTTCATCTACTTTCAGATTTATGCTAACACATTTTATATGTATATATTTAGTTCCCCGATTCTTTTGCTCTTTAAAAGTTGTATTGTACACGAGGAAAAGAGATTTTTTTAACATATATGAAATAATTAAATAACATTATTGCACATTAATAGACTCCTTTGGATTTCCATGTTCGGGCCATTATAAATAAGCTTTTGGGCCAAGGGAGGTTTGCACCGTCTCCGTCTCCGTCTCATCTGGCTCCTTTGTCTCGTGTCCTTCTCTTTTTGTGTTTTTTGTAATGTCTATCGAAGCAGACCTTCTCATAAGAGTATCCTCCTCAAAAGCCATGAGTGATATGCGAGCTCAGGCCCGTAAGTTATATGTGAAGCATAAGCTAGCAGGTGAGGTATCTGCCGAAGGGGCGAGTAGGAAGAGAGTTATGCCTAAATCAGGAGCCGACGATCGTGAGAGCCAACCTGGTTCTTCTGGTTTCCTTAGGGACTCCCCCTAGGAAAGGGCTGCGGGACAGGCTAGAGGTCGTCTTGATGATCATCCTACTGGACACTCGCCAGGGGTGAATGTTCCTGCTGTGGGAGAAAGATTTTCCGTCCAGATGGCTGCAAGGGTCGAGGTTCCGCAGAGGCGTCCAGAGGCGGCGGTGGCGGCTGAGGCCAAGACATGGCCTAGACCGACTAAGAGAAGTCTTTCTTCTGAAAATGGAGGGCAAGAGAAAGTCAGTGTGGACATTTTTTCTTACACCACATCTGAATAAGAAATGATTCTTGGTATGTAGCTTGAATAGCTTTTGACATCTCTTTCAGCAACTGAAGTCCTCATTATCGACTCTATATCGGAAGATGCTGACATTAGCCCTGAGGATGATGGGACGGTTGTGGAGCAGGTTGCGGTAGAGGAAGTGAATATGGGAAAGGTTGTCACGGGGGAGCGGATATGACGAAAATGAGTGCACCGGAGCAAGGTGCTGAGCGGGATGTCGAGGATCAGGGTGCTGAAGGAGTGTTGGAGGCCAGGGCGCGGGCTGTTAAGTTTTTTTTTGGTGATGCGAGGAAGGAAGAGGTGATCGGGGGGCGTCATTTGTCCTCTGACTTCATACTTTGCAGCCTTGCTGAGATGGAGGAGTGTTCTCTTCATTTTATGAGGTAACCTCTAGGAGATGGTGATGTAGAAATTTTTTAGGTTCGAGAGAGTCGACTAGGTGGAGAGGCAAGATAATGTGCTGAATGAGGAACCTGTTATTTTCCGGAGGGAGGTGCTTGCCGATCGTGGGAAAATGACGCATATGTGTTTGGAATTGTCGGGCGTTAGAAAAACCCTCGCCAGTCAACCTAGGGATAGTCAGAATGATCGTTTCAGGCTGGGGGCGAGTTTATGTATGAACGGCTTCGCTATCAAGGGTTTGTCTAGGGTGAAGCCTTGAACAATCGCTTAGATTTTTTCTTCCTCAATTGTAATCGAGGGTTTGGCGCGAATTTCCCCCTCTTTTTATGTATATAAATAAGTAATTAATGAAATAAAATAAAGTATATATATTATTATTTTTATTTCTGGTAATGAGTAGTTTAATTGGTTAATGTGTTGTTCCATCGCATCAGCCGTTTCGGCTTCTAGGTGACATATATATATATATATATATATATATATATCTGTGTGTGTGTGGTCGTGTAATTGTTGAGGGCTTTTGTTCATTTCCTTTCCTCATTCTTTTTCTTTCTCCAGGTTACACCGTCGTTTTATTCTTTTCTCTGGGTTTCATCATCCTGTTCTTCTTCTTTTCCGTCTGGTATCGTAGACTCCATGGTTCATAAATACTCCTAGAAATTGTTTGGTTTGATTCCTGCTACGGAAGTTTCAGTCTTATCCGCGGTGGACGTAGAAAATATTCAGTATCGTTGTATTATGAATCCTATGATCCTTCTGCGACCGGCCGACACCCACGAATGGGCTACAAATGATTTCTCTCCTGACCTTGTCATTTATAAAGATCACTTTAAGATGGGTCTTCACTGTCGTTTTTGTCGACAGTTGTGGTCCATCTTCAATCTCTATGGTATCATCCCAGCTCAAATCCTTCTGAACCTGATCGCCGCTATTATGACTTATGTGCTCTTCCGTTTGAGGATGAAAATCCCGTGGTCAATTACATTCTTCAATCATTTCTTCTCCTTCTAGATTGGTGGTGATGGATATATTCACTTCACCATCAATAATAAGATTCAATTGTCGGAGCTTGAGGACAAGGTGAATGGCTGCAAGACAAAGTTCTTGGTCACTTCGTGTGCGGATAGATGGGGGATCTGAACTTCTATAAAGTGTGAGGTGAAGAAAGTGAAGCCCTTGTCAAGGAACGTTCGAGGCCACATAACACTGATTGAGGGTCAGTACCTCTCTTTCTTTAAGTACCTTGACCCAAACGTGATTGAACACATGATCATCTAAATGGTGTTGATACCATGACCGAGGATTTGTGTAGATCGGACGACAATGGAGAGTTCAATCGAGAGAGAACTGCTGGAAACCGGTTGGAAATTGAAGAGGCCTTGTGGTAAAGGCAGTCCTCCCTCACTCGGTAGAGGCCGAGGTCGGTCGGACTTGATTAGGTCGGTCGAGGGGGATGATGACAGTTGGTGTTAATTTTCTTCTTGCATGTTTGTGTGTGAAAGCATTTTCATGACCTTTGTGTAATTTGCTAGGTTCTTCGGAAGGGAGCGAGGGTCGCCTAACTTTCCTGAGTTTGGAGACCCATCAGTCAACCCGTCGGTTGGAAGAGTTCTGGCGGTTAGGGGGGAGGCCGATTCTAAGGGACGAGGGGTCGCAGATCAGATGGAGGGTGACGCCCTTCAGAGGGAAGGAAAGGCTCCCGTCTCTGATGTCGACTAACACCCTCCTCCCGAGCAAGAGGGGGTGGTTCCGCCCGAGTGGGCGTTCTCACACGAACAAGGAGTTAGTGTTTGGACGAGCGGTCACTACGTTTTTATTGACAGGGAGACCAAATGGTTCCCTACCAATACTCTGATGGAGACCACTCCTCGATTCTAATTGACATATTCTGGTCTCACGCTTTCGAGGGGAACATGAGGTCGATGTAGAGGGGGCATGTTCCAAGTGATCGATCGTTATCATGCCCTTTCCTGGAAGACTTCGCATTTTTAGGCTCTTCTCTTAGACAAAGCGGAGGAGGATGTTGGACGGTCTGCTTCGAGGGCTTGAAAATCCAAGGAAGTTCATTATTGCACAATAATGTCATTTAATTATTTTAAATATGTTAAAAAAAAAATTGTTTATCCCTGTGTACTGTGTAGCTTTCGAGGAGCAAGAGAATCCGTGAACTAATTATATACATATAAAAATGTGTCAACACGAATCTCAAAACAAATAAAGGCTCGGGAAGAGGATGCGGAGGATCGAAACTAGCCTTCGAAGGTCGTCTTTGATTGAATATTGGCAAGAGAAGAGTCTTGTTTGAACGATCGACAGAATGTGCCAAGAGAAGCTCCCACAGGGCGGTAATCATCCTTCAGGACGATCGACAGAGAGTACTCTTTCGGACTAGATATCGATCGAATCAATGCTTATCAGACGATCGTCAACCCTCATCAATTGAATCGACCCCCGGTTTTATAATATGCAAATAACTCCGTAATTACCAAAAAATCTCTCTGAAAAGTTAATGATGTGGAGACTAATATGTACTTTTATAATGTTGGGACCTGAGTCTATAAATAAGGGTTCATGTCATAAAAAAGACACCCTTTTGACTGTTCTAGCAGAATATTCTCTTCCTTGAGTGTGTTTCCCAAGCACTTTGTATTCAGCAGAATAGAATCATCATTATCAATGGTATCACCCTTAGCAAATAATCAAAAGAGAAATATGAGGATGATCACGTTCTTCGTTAAATCTCCCGCCATTTCCTTTAGATGAGTGGTAACTGCAATACTTCATCTGTTGATATTGTTGTTGGTTAGCTTGGCCAGCAAAATTGCAATGTAAGAAAAAAAGTTTTTGCATTTGTTTTTGCATATTATTAAAATGTTTGTTAACAAATAAACTAAAAGAATAAAAAGTAAAACTGGGTTAGTTTTAAATTTTCCTGTAAATAGGACTACTGAGTTTGTAGCTTCACATGTAACTTTCAATGAACTGCTTGACCAACATGTTGATAAACCTCAGTAAGGGTGGGGTCTTCTATTAAACTATGAAATTTATGAATGTATAGGAAAAAGGAGCAATACATAAAAACAAAAATTGTAGAGTTTTCTTTGTACAAATGCTGAAAACTTAAAAGAAACAATGGACTCACTGACTGACAACAGCCTATAGCCCAACTGAAAACCCATCTTAATTCCTTAAACTGAAAGAAAAAACGAAGCATCTACTCTTCTAATTCATTTCCTTCATTAATGCATATCTTGAATCTTCAAAAGCCTTTTAATATCTAATATAAATTGTAAAGTGTCAAAATAGTCCCCTGATTATTTCCATGAGGTCAGTTCAAGAGTTTATGAAGTATCAAATTAGTCCCATTCACTTTATATTGGGGCTAAAATAGTCATCTGTGAGGATTAGCATTGACCAAAAAAGGAGAAGATAAAACAATCCAAACCTCACAAAGCACTCCATCCAGGTTCCTTCTTAATACCAAACCCCTTCATTGAACTTCTTATCCACAAAACTTGCTCCCAATCCCCCATGTCCGCAGACATATTTGCGACAGCAATATGAGCTCCCGAGTCATGAGATTCAAGTTCAAGCACCTTCTTTTTCGCTATACCTCCAATTTCAACATCACCATAAACTCTGCAAGCACCAAGCAAGGTGCTCCACACAAGAAAACCTGGTTCAGTCGGCAAATGAGATCAATAGCTTCCTTCAATCTTCCAGCTCTGCCAAGCAAATCAACCATACAGGAATAGTGACGAATCTCTGGTTCTATCCCGTAGTCTCTACTCATAGATTTAAAATAAAAAAATCCTTCATTTACTAAACCATTATGGCTACACGCAGATAGAATACTCACAAATGTAACAGAATCCGGTTTTATTCCATTAATCTTCATCAAATTGAATGCTTCTAGAGCTTCCTTAGCTCTCCCATGTTGAGCATATCCTTCAATCATCGTCGTCCAAGTCATCAAATCAGGGTTTTGTATCTCATCAAATAATTTACGGCACTCGCTTATAATTCCACACTTTGCATACAAAGTCAAAAGCGTGCTTGCTACAGAATTATGAAGAATTAAACCAGCTTGAATTGCCTGACAATGTAGTTGCCTCCCCAAAATAGGTCTGAATGATTGCGAACAAGCCCCGAGAACAGATGAGCATGTAAAAGGATCAATCTTCAAACCAGTTCGAGTCATCCGATGGAAATCCAAGATAGCCTCCTCACTCATATCGTTCGTAGCATAACCAGAGATCAAAGAGGACCACAAAATCTGATCTTTGCATTGGATTTGATCAAACATTCTTCTTGCAGATTCTGTATCACCGCATTTCGAATACATTGATATGATTGAACTGCCAATAAGGGTATCATGTCCAAGTCCATGGCGAAAGGAAAAACCATGAATTTGCTTTCCTTTATCTAGAAACAAATTATTATTGCATGCCGTAAGTGCAGCCGAAAGAGTCATATCATCTGGTTCGATGCCTTCATGAATCATCTCCCTGAACAATTGAAATGCTTCCTTCGCACTACCATGCTTAGCAAAACCAGAGATCATTGATGTCCATGCCACTCTATCTTTGTCCCGCATCTTCCCAAAGAGCTCATAACTCTCTCCAATTCTGCCACATTTGGAGTACATGGTGAAAAGAGAACTGCATACAAGCAAATCATCTACCGATCCCATTTTAACAACATAGCTATGCAATTGTTCACCAAATATTATACAGTCAACAATGCTGAGAATGCTGCAGATGCATGAATTATCAGGTTTTTGAACTCCGCATAGCATTTGCAGGAAAAGTTCGAGTGCGTTACCGAAACAATGGTTTTGGACATGGCTAGAGATCATAGCAGACCAGTTACTAAGATGCATTCCTGCCTCTTCTTCCTCAAAAACCATCTGAGACATTTGAACATCTCCAACCCTGCCATATGCGCTGATCAAAGCAGCCTTTACTGCAGGATCGGTGCAAAAACCAGACTTGAGAATCCAGCCATGAATCTGATAAGATATACTTTCCATGAAACATATAGCACACGCAAAGAGCACACTTGTAATAGTGTATACATTAACATCAACGTTGTTTCTAATCATTTCTATGAAGTATTTCACTGCAGAAGCACCGTCTTCATCCAGCATAAAACCCGAAATCAAAGCGGTCCACGAAACCACATTCCTGACTGGCATTGATCTGAACACTTTCAACGCTGCATCCATGTCGCCACACTTTGCATAAAGGTCAACGGTGGCTGTTCCAACAAAGATGTCATCTTGCTGATTGAACTTAAGAGCCCATGCGTGCATTGACCTTCCTAAGTCAATGTCCCCAACGGTAGCACAAGCCCCCAAAGCGCTAGAGAAAGTAAAACCATTCGGCGTACACAAACCTTCCACCATTCGCTGGAACAGCTTCAAAGCAACCCAACTTTCACCATTTCGAACAGCTCCAGCAATCACAGCGTTCCAACAGACTACATTATCGCTGTGACTATACAGAAATATATCAAGCGCTTTGGCAAAACAGCCACCTTTGGCAAACAAGTCTATAACACCACTGAGAACATATCCACTTGAGAGAAAACCAACTTTAATAACAAGAGATATAAAATGGTCACCAAGCTTAAAATTCTGCGTGGCCGTGCAGGCCAAGATCACATTCGCATAAGCAAATTGATCGGGCTGGAAGCCCGCCGGGCGCATTGTTCTGAAAATTCTGATGGTGGAATCAAATTGAGAACTTTGGTTGGAAGTTCGGAGAGCGGAACTTAACTGCGAAATATTCCATGAGATGGGATAAGTCTGGGGAGTTTCGTCGAGCACAAGGTGGGCGTCTTGAAGATGGCCTGATTTGCTGCGCGAACCAGAAAGTTGGATGGAAGCTGGGAGATTTTGTTGGGCACGAAAAGCGTTGGAATCGGGAAGATGAAGAAGCTCCGAGTTTGCAAGAGTTGTGTGGAATCTGATAGTAGGAGTTGGCGGAGATTTCTTGACGTAAAGATGATAGGTGCAGAGTCCGAGGAAGGAGAAATTTGAATATCTCATTTGAAATATAAGAAAGCCGTCATGGATTCGGTAGCCGTCAGAATCCTCGTGCTCGTTAACGATTCTATAATAACATGAACATAAACATTGGCAAAATTACATGTTAAGACTGCTGAGTTGGTCTGAAGCTTTAGTTTTAAATACTTGTCTGTTGAACCAAAATTTCCTCATGAGCACTTTCTAAAAACTATATATATATATATATATATATATATATATGATA